TGCTCATCTTTTGTCTGCTCAAACCATCTTATTATCATCCACCTGATCTGTTCTATGTCTTCTTCAGCACCATGGTTCATGCCATTCATGGGGTTGAGTATCCTGGTCTCAGGAACCCAAAATGTGAGTAGTGCTGTGTCTGTCAATGACTGCCTTCAGTCAAGGCACAGAGAGAATGGGGAGATAAATGTGGGGAAAGACTTCTGGAGCTGCAAGTGGCAGAATTTGGTTTGCAGTTGGATGTGTGTGGTGGGAGTAAATCTCATTTAGAGGATTTAGAAGGTGGTTCAGGTGACCAAAAAAAAGTTGGAAAAGCAAGACCCCCATATCCATCAGAAATAGTGCCACTGCCCTTTGCAATGACTCCCATCCCATGGACAGGAGCCCTGCAGTACCTCACAAAAAGGCACAGACACGTGGCTGTTTCTCATTAGCTTCCACTTTTCCCTCTGGATCTGCTTCCTGTGCCTTTTGCCTGCAGCTTGGCCATAGGTGTGCTAAGGATAAGGTTTAAATCTAAATGGAAGGGGGTTATCTGATTTACAGTAAGTAGATTTTTCATTTCAAACAGCAACACACAGAGCCCTGCGCATTACCTTGCATCAATATAATACCCACATGCCATGCATTTATGCCTAGGATATAAAAATAATAAATTATTGCAATGCTGTGTGTCTGCATAAAGCTAACTCATGTAGTACAGCATGTTTATCAAAGGACACTCCTTAATTGCATACTAGTATTTTTTAATTAGTCATTAAGTTGTAAGACTCTGTCTCTCTGATGATTTATGTCTCTCTGCTGATTTATGCTTATTTACAGTGTGAGTGACTTCTGCAGCAATTCCTGATTTTAATTTTCTATTCTTTAACAATACACGATATTTCAAAATTGAGTTGGTTTTGGGGGTTTCATTTTAAGAATAAACCCAATTATATGTCTGAAACTCTTTAACCAAGGAAAGCCAAAGTAGTGTACGAAAACAATGGCTGTTCTCCCCTGCTTAGGGACACTTTTGTTCTGTTTTCCCGTCTAACCAATTTATCAGAACTGCTCATTCTCTCATTCTCTATTACAGCCATAGAAAAAACTGTGGATTTGGGAACACCTCTATAGTTTTGTCTCTGGAAGAGAAGTAGGTAAATTGAAATAAAAAGAGAAAATTAATATTAATTTGCATTTTTCCTTTGGGAGAAAGATTAAATGAATTCTAAAAGGAGGTTCTGCTCCTACTTAGTGTTGAACTTGATGAAGTCACCCAGCTGATCACAGCTCAGTGGAGGAGGCACAGCATTTGATAAAACCACAGCAAAGGGAATTCAAGCAGCAATTCCCTTGCAAGGAGAGGGGTTATTAATGCTGAGGATCATTGCTCCTTTGGGGGTTTTTTCTTTCTGGTGTAAATAGTTGTCAGCAATGGAGAGAAGTCAATACAACAGTGTGGGAGCTCCAGGCCACCTGTATGGAACATCTGTCTTCAGGCACTTGTGTTTAGTGTTTAGGACGTGTCTCCTGTGTCCTCCTCCACCAGGAGCAGCAGTGGTCCATGGGTCACCAGTGGATGCTCCCAGTTCACCCTCTGAGTCACTGGTTGGTGACACTAGAATGCCCTGGTGACAGGACACAGTGACAAGCCTTGAGCTGATGTGCCCAAGATTCTGCACACTACCATGTCCTCAGTACCTTCAGCTTCATAAACCTGTTACCCTGCATCATAAAGTCATAAAACCCAAAGAACCTGCATTATCCCCTGTTCCTTTCGTTTTCAAGGTGAAATAACAATTTCCCCTTTACATCCTGCTCTGGCAGCCCAGTGGAAAGACAATGATCTTGTACTGCACCATTGTACCCAAACATGTGAGGTGAGAGCTGGTTGTTGCAGAAGATGAGAAAGGAAACTGATTTAGTCAAGGGTTTTTACATCAAGTGTTGTTGCCAAAATATGTTGCTGCACATAGCAGCAGTAGCAGAGCTGGTGCAGTAAGGGTCAAGGCAGCTGTTTAAATTGGTGCATTATCCTGCATCCCTCCCAAAAACCTGCCTTCCCCTAAAAATCCTCCTCTGACATGGCTATGCCAGTAGCAGGGTGTTGTGACCACTATGCTGCCAGTAGCACTATTTTTCATTGCCACTTACTTTTTCTGTTCTGCAGGGCTGATTTCTCTGGGTTTATTTATTCATCTATTAATGCAGCACAGTCATGCCATGGTTTCCCTTTGGCAGGAGGCACTGCATGGCAGAAATCATGCCTGCAACTCTGCAACAAGCATCTCCAAAATGTCCATTCCCTTGAGAGCCAGTGGCCTCCTCTTTGCAGCCTTTCCCTGTCTTCACAATTAACCTCCCCAAGATTACCAGTTATGGGGAGTTTTAAAACTTTTCAAGAGGCAGTGGCTTCGCTTAGGCAGCAAAGCTGTGTATTGAAATATGAATTAGTAGTGTGTGTATCGGCAGGATAGACCATCTGCTGTGCTCAGCACCCGGGTTTGAAGCTGGTTGGCTGGCAGGACAGCATGTGTTTACAGAAAACCCTAACAGTTGTAAAGGAGCCATTTAGGTTTATCGTGTCAATTCCTGTACAACTCCACGCGGAGAGATTCCTTTCACAAACTCACATAAAAAAGACAGATAGACTAGTTTTGACCTCTCCCGAAACATTTGATGGTTGAGCTTGTTGCAAGGATAAAATATCTAGAAGAGAAAAAAAAAATCTTGTCATTTCCCCCTCTTAAGCATTAGACTTCTTGAGTGCAACATCCATTCATAGCTTAATTCTTGCATTGTAATTTAACTGCCTTTTATTTTCCTTCTGAGATACAAACACAGGAGCTGTACATGATTTTCATACCACATTATGCAAGACATTGTGAAAAAGCTGCCCAGAGTAATGGCTCCATTTCAACGTGATGCATATGCCAAGATACAGGGATCATTTATTTTGCTTAAAAAATTAAATGAGGATGGGATTAAAAATGTTATGTTTTGCCTATATGAGCAATTCCTCTATCAGCCATTCCAAACATATTGCCTCTTTGTAGCTCCTCTGTAATACAAATTGTCCAAGGGAAGGCACGTGGTAGCACACCAAAGGGGTTTATGCTGCTGCACGAGCATCCCTCTTTCCAGGGACTTGCAAAGCACAAATATTCCAAGGACAGGACAGAACAAAACCACACTGGCCCTGGGGATCCCTCTGGACTGAGCACTTGGTTGTTTTCCCACACTTGGAGGAATTATTAAGAAAACAATCTCTTTAGAGAATGTGCTGAATCCGTTGCTTAGCAGGCACCCATGTTGTACATATGATTTGTGTGTGGAGGGATGCAGAGAGAAAAGGGAACGTTCTCCTATGTCCTTAACAAGTCCTCGGTCACTGTGTCCCATGTGTGACTCTGCCAGGCTGTTGGACTGAGAAGATAAAATAAGAGACAGCCACATTTTGATGCATCTCTGAGATAACTCCTTCCAATGTGCAAAAGAAAAAAAAAAGAAGTATCTCAATACATAGGTCTTAAGACTTCAATCATTTTTTTTTAAATGCTCGATTCTTTTAATGGAAAAATCCATGAAGCAAGATGAAAGATGGCAAGATGAGAGATGGCAGGATGGGGGAGAAAACTTGCTCTTGCAAACATACCCACCTGTTTTTAAGGCCCTTCATATGGATGCTTTAGGATTGGGGATCAAAAGCTGCATAAAAACTGAGTGTAGCCAATATCTTAAATAGGAACACAGTATGTTGGTAGTTTGTGAAGGGTTCTACAGCTTATATGAAGTAGCAAGGCTTGGGTAAGGACAGGAGAATGGTGGAATGAAAGGAAATTACCTGTTTATAGGCCACGTGCTGTACTCTGAAGAATCCTTTCTCTAAATTATGCCTTGGGTCCTTAGAAATGAAATACCAATGTATTATTACTACTGTGTATTATTGTGATTAGAATCACAGAGATTTAGGTAACTTTTGCTTACAATCTTGTGCATCTGTGTCTGTATATTATATGTGTGTACATGTATATATTTGTTATTATTTTTTTATATATGTGCGTTCAAAGTTCCTTTAACCTGATCAACAGCTCCTGCTCATGTGAGTCAGGATTTGGTGCTCATCAGTGGAGGAGCAAAACAGGGTGGATCAGGACTGTCAGATTCCTTCTCCAGGAAAGCAGCAGATTAGGCATGAGCACAGGCTCTCTCCTGGGGATTGCATTCCATATTTAGGGACATGAGGGAGGGGAGGGCATCTCCAGCTGGATTGCACAAGGTCACTGCAGAGGAGTTAAGTGCCCAGGGCCAGATTTGGGGATTGGTGCAGCACCTGCCACACCACTCAGTGATCAGGGGGATGCTGTGGAAAAGTCCTGTCCCTTCTAAAAGCAGCATCTAATCCAAGTGGGAGAGCACGGCCCTGGAATATCATCAGGGAAGAGTTTGGTGACCAACTCTTGGGGCCCTCTCTCTGCTCTCAAGAGCCTACCTTGGCCATTTGCATTGACTCTTTCAGCCAGACCAAAACCACTTGCCTGGCCCTGGAAATCTGCTAGAAAAGAGCTGTTTTGGGGAGGTAAGTCACTGATTCAGTTTGCCAAGCTGTCACGGTAGAGTCATCTGTAATGAAGCCTAAGGCTGAATCCTATTTTTACATTTGCAAATGTTACAATCCAAAATTTCATTTTTGTATTTAAACTGTGTGGCTTCAGTTTCCTGTTCTGATTTTGTTTGTGATTCAGTTTTAAAGCCATGGACCTGTGGACTAAAAATGCAGTGACTTTGGGCGTTGTGTTTCTCTGTGTCATTATTTTATTATTATCATCCTCGTCATCATCACTATTATTATTATTATCACTTATTTTGGGGGGATTCTTCTTATATGCTCTTTTCTCTTGGCTGGTGGAATGCAGACCAGAGAAAAGCATGAGAATGCCTGTGACAGCAGCATTTTTCAGACTTTTCCCGAGCATCCCTCCCGCTTGCCTGCGGATGGGATTGGGCGCTCCCCGCGCGGAGCGGAGCAGCGCAGCCACGCCACATCATCCCACTGCCTATTTTCAGGCTGTGTGCTGTGCCCTCCCGGGTCAAAGCGAAAATGAGAGAGGATGGCAAGCCAAAGCGTGGGGAAGATGACTCACTGGATTATTTTCTGCATTTCAAATATAACCCTTGAATTCTTGCCAATGTATCGATACAGTCAGGCAGTGAGCCTCATGTATTTATATTTATTTATGCTACATAATGCCTCAGTCAATACACTTACCTATTTTTTTTTCTATTTTGTTTATTTGTTTTTTTCACATATTTTCTTCAAAACAGGCACTGAAGGAGTAAAACTGCAACCCACCCAATGCAATTCCTGTAAACACAATGTGCCAAGGTTTCCAACAAGCACCAGCTCTGGCAACAACAATCATTGCCATTCCATGCCTTACTGAAACTGGTCAGAATGGTTTTGGAGAATTGGACAGCCCCTGATCTTTCTGAGGAAGGAAAAAGGAGCTCAGCTGAGGTATGTTTTGACACAGAGTGAGGTTACCTTTGCTCCTGTGTCTTGCATACAGATGCTGGTCTGCAAAACCCAGCCCTGCTCTGATCTGCATATCCCACTCTCTGTTTTGGGAGGGGAGAAGGGAATGAGCTCAGGTGGGGGAGGGCTGAGTTGAGGCCATGATTATTGGGGAAAACATTAACATGGAGCTTGTAGAGAGAAACAAGCTTGATACCCCAACAGGAAACTTAACCATCAAGCACTTGGTCTCAGGGATCATTTTATTCTCAGAAAGTGGCCCATAAATACAGAGTTAATTATGACCAGAACCTACAGTAATAGCCTGTTTATGGGAAAACTCTAGTCCTAGTCTAGAAGAGCTGTAATCTTACCCTGCCATCTGAAATTTGTTTCTTTATTAAGATTACATTCTCGACTGAAAGAAAAAAAAGAGAAGTGAGTTAGTTTGATAAGTTTATTGTCCTTTGTCAGGATGGTAGTATTTTTTTCTGCTTTGAAAATAGATGTTCCTGTTTCTATAGCTGTATATTTATCCTTTCTTTCAGCTTTTTCATTACTGTTCCCTTTAATCATTTAATGAGGAGTGTTCAGGTTCTTGATGATTTAAAATTATGACTCATAGAGACACTGGCAATATCTTTGCTGGAGAAACGTTGATCCTCTAACTTTAAGACTTTAAATTCAAACCACATGTTTTTGCCACTAACTCCAAAAACAACCCTTGGAGTTGTGTGACTGTCACTAGAATATAAACCAAAGCCATTCTGCAAACAAAAGCTGCAGTATTTAAATTGCAATTTCGGTCAGAAAAGTGACTATTTTAATCATTGCTCCGCTTTACCCAGGAGATCTGCTCCCTCTGCACATTCCAAATATCTCTGCAGATTTTTATAGACTGAAAGGAGATTTTACTGCCTTCCACCCCTCTTAGCCCTACGGAGGCCGGCCAAGGCAGGCGGGTGAGCCAGATTTGTTCCAGACTCACACATCCGCGGGAGTGTGAGCTGAATTCCCGCGGCACGACCTGCCCAGCCGGTGATGTGCCCGCCAGGACACGCTTTTGTGCTCCCTGGGAGCTCACAGGGTGCAGGGCACTTAGAGGGGGAAGAACAAAACACAAAACCAAAACCACAGGGGTTTTCCTATAAACTGGTTTGGTTTGAAAAGGGAAAAAAAGTCCCACAAGAGTCTCTTAGGCTGGAATGGCTTTTTTGAGAGCAGCTACCTGGATGGACCCCACTTCAAGGGTAGGGGCTCTGAGTAAAGAAAAAAATAAATTTCAAAAAGTATTAGATATAGAACTGGGAAATTGAAAATAAGAGGATGCAAATGTCTTAAGGAGATTTTCTTTTCTTGCTGGCTTTGAGGAATGAATTAATTTCCTTTAATATTTTCTTCATGTGGACACTTTCTTACAGCAGTCTGGGTGCTGAGCTTCATCCTCTTTGGGCTCCTACAAACCAAATCACTGCCTTCCCCGACCCTCAAGCCCCGTTTCGTGTGTTTGCTACTCCAAGAATCAAATCCCATTTAGAAGGTGGCTGCTTTAACTCCCTATCTTCATTTATGAAATGCAATATATGTATTTTATATCTATGAAAATTCCCTATTACTGTATTGGGAATGTTTCTCTGATAGACATGAATTCAAAATAAATGTTGTTAAGAGAACATCTAATTCATTTTAGATGGTTTTATTAGGCGTCTCTTAACAAATCCCAGAGTATGTAAATGAAATATAACTATACGTACATATTCATCAGTCTGTTCTTGGAATTAAATATGAGCGCTGTGACATTTGGTTTTAAGGAATGACTAATTAACATGTGCGCAGGATGTTCTCATCTTCCTGCTTTGGAGTCCCAGAGTCAGGGAAAAGCACACAAAGCGTGCTTTTTCCACTCTTTCTATCATAGTTTGCAAAGCAGAAAGCTGCTCACGACAGCCAAGAACTTCTCAGGCGTTTCTGTACCTGTTGGGTGCTGACACAGGGCCCCTTCTTGAGTGCTTGGTGTTGTTAAATGTCATCCCGTCTGCTCTGGGGCCAGGAGTGCATTAAAAAAATCAGCTTTGCAGCCGACCTGGCTTTTAATAATCACACCAACAAGTCACAGAGCACAATAAAGAGCAGGATAACTTCTGGAGGACGGCCAATGTGCTGTTAATTTACGTCCACAATAAGATGCTGGAAAACTAGGCTGAGCCCTCAGGTGCTCCCTGTCCCCACTGTCCCAGAGAAACTCTCTAGGAAAATGTGGGCTGGATCCTGTAGGGATATTTGGGGGTTGGATGCCTCAATGCCGTGCTTGGGAACACCAGGCTTTACTGTACTGCTGCTGAAAACCCAGAGAAACACCCACATTGGTTTTTGGCAGGGCTGGCTCGAGTTGCTTTTGTGCAAGAGCAATGTGTGTGCAGAGCATACACTTTTTGCAGCAAAAAAAATTAGTTTTAAAAAAAAAAGAAACCGACTGTAATTTCTTTCTGAGGGTGCTGGGGGAGGGCAGACACACCACACCGCCCTGTCTGAGCGCCCTGGAGAAGTTGACCAGAACAAATCTCAGCAGGAACACACAAACCTCTATTATACCTTTTAAAAAGCTCCCCATTGAATGCAACCGGGCAGATGGGAAGGGCCCTTTTATTTCCTTTTTTCTTTCTCCGCCTGAGTTCATTCTCTCCCTTTGGGGGAGCCAGGTTCAAAGACATGCCAAATGCATCAAAACCTTCCCAATAAAGCCCCTTTCACCTCCCGGCAGAGCAGGGATGGGACTGGAGCGTGCTGGGAGTGCTGGGTCTGACGGTGACTTTCAGGACTGTGTGTGGTAAATCGTGTGCACATTTCCCAAAACAATGCCCTGAATTGGACGTCTAATTCCCTGGAAATTAAATCCCTCAGCTGGTCAGGGAAAACAGGAGCCAAAGAGATTAAACAGTGCAGTAGGGAGAATCTTTGAGGGTTGTTGGGGGTGTTCTTGTGGGTCTGTTGGAGTATTATTTTTAATAGCAGAGGGGTAGCAAAGTAGTGGTTTGGTGTTGCTTCCACTATTTTAATTTGAACCATGATTTTCCTTCTTCTTTTCCCAATAATCCCCATGAAAAACTACCTCTTTATGCTCATTAACCAACAGGTGAGCTCTGTCCCAGCAAGCACAACCCTGTTCCAGGATGCAGAACTAATTTCTGAGTCCTTAGGGTGAGTAAATTACGATGCTGCAGCTGCAGAGCCCGTTCCCATGGCCCCAGGCATCCCATATCCTGCTCAGATCCCTGCTAGAGCCTGCAGCTCCCACCACCTTCCTGGTGCTGCACTGCCCACCACAGCCTTTGCTCACTCCTGGATTATTTATCCCGGTACAAACTCGGCTGGGACTGGGATTATTTGGGTGTCAGAGAGGCCAGAAATGGGGCTGAGATGTTCCTGGTATTTTTTTGTTGCTGGTGTGTAAAATACGAGCAGGTCCAGCCACGGATGCTCCAGTGCGGCGCAGCGAGTGGCTGGATGCTGGATAAAAGAACAGTCCCTGCTCCTCAGGAAGCGATCTTTCCCCACAGGGCTGCTTTTGAACTGCTACAAGTCAAAACTTAGTGGGCCTCACAGTGGCAATTTTTTTCCTTAAAAAAAAAAAGCATTTTCCTACGTATTTTTACTGACAAAAGCCTGACGCTTCCTTTATATGCTTTATTTTCTTTCTCCTCTGAAACGATCGTTAGACAAAAGCAGTTTTGCTGCTGGTTAATCAAGAGAGTGATGTGGCCCTGCATTTTAATCCTAAACCAATTAGCAGGATTTGACATCATGCCATTAGACTGCTTGAAACAAAAATCAAGGACAGCGTAATGCAGCTAGAAAAGAACAATAACCATCAGTGCTGCCCTGTCAAAGGGGAAGGAAGAAATTTGGCTGCGTCTGTAATTTCCAAGCAATCCCCCTTCCCTCAAACCTGAGCATTCAAATGAGGGAGCTAAATAATAATGAGAGGGGGAAATGTTGAATCTCTAATCACATTACCCTAAAAACTGCACCGGTTTTAAATGCAGAAATCGCTGCTCTTGCTCCTGAGCCGGCACAAATTGGTTGCATTTCCAAACCCTGAGTTGCGGTTTATGATTTCTGCCGCGGGCACTCCGTGCTTCGCAGGTTGCACGGCGCCTCGGTGCAGATGCACAGCGAGGGACCCCGCAGGGTGCAAATGCACCAGCATCCCTCAGAAACAACTTCCTGGACATGGAAATATTTGCTTTGTCCAAACCACCCTAAGATAATTAATGAACAAAGCACCTTTTAGCAGCTGTACTTTTTGCTGGCAGGAATGCACCTTGCGGCTGGTCCCACAGTGACGGCGGCGCAGCCTGAGCCGGTGGCCGGGACTGGAGCCGGCCTGGCAGGCGTTGGCCAGGCCACTGCTGCTGCCCGTGGGCACAAACAAGCCTGGCGAAGATACAGGGTGAGAACAAAACTGCAGGCAGGCCCCGGGGTGCAGTATTGGAGGGATGAATGCCTAAAGCACATCGGGGACTCCGCGCCTTGCTGCGCGCTCGGGGCTGGCAGCAGAGAGCGGAGCAGGAGCGAAACCCAGCGTCTCGTAAAGCAGCATATGGATAGAGCACAAATGGATGGGCTTTTATGTCCTGTGCAATATTTTCATTGATATTTATTTTGATTTAATTTGGCTAATGTGCAGGGAGAAATGAAAGTGTGCCATACTCCTCAAAATCTGATGAGGAGCTGAATACTTTTTAAAATTAGTATTCCCTCAGAGGCATCGATCTTTGAGGTCTGCCCGGCAACTTGCTGGAAAATCATGAATTACTCCATGTAAATCACAGGATGACCCTTGGAGCAGCAGATTGTTTTTTAGTGTTTAATTTTTCTGTTAGATTACAGTTTCTAGTCTTTCTTGAAACAAAAAGCTTCAGCCTTTTTGTCCACAACTTTAATTTTCCTTTTAATGAAAGTGGAGTTTTCCACAGTCTCAAACCACTTCAAAGAGAGGGTTTTAAAAAAAATATATTATTAAATTATCATGAGATTTGTTATAAAAGGGTGAAAAATGGAAATTGTCCTTATCTCTGCTTTGAGAGAGAAGAGGCTGAAGTGGAGCCAGGAGCGATGGTCACAAATTGTAGCGTGAGGTTGGAGACCGGGGTGCAAATCTCTGCCAAAGACTTCCAGGGCGAAGTTGGGCAAGTGACATAAATCTTCTTCTCTCATAGCTGCCATCTGCAATATGGGACAAAAAGAGCCCATTTCCTCCACAGGGATCTGTGTACAAATGCCTTAAAACTGGCGAGGGGCAGCAGGGATGGCAGGGCCATGTGCAGGCTGGAGAGGGAAAAAAATAACTCTCCAAAGAAGTTAGCGGCAAATAAATCCTCTGCCTTCTCAGTGAAGCAGCTATCCCAGAAATTTGTGGCTCTGAATTTTGAGGGATTAAATTTGTAAGAGGAGGTTAGTGTGGGTAAGGTGAGCAGGGGCCAGGGGGTACCCAAAGCATCACCCACACCCCCTCTTTGCCCCACCAAGGCATCCCCAGGGCTGCCTCCTCCTGCACCACCGGGATTTTAATGTCCCGCTTCCCTTGCCTGTTAATAAAGGAACAAAAAGCGCTTTTGCCTCCTCAAGGGTGTTGTGAGACAAAGTTGGTAAGTGCTGAAAAGAAACCCAAACCCGAGGAGAAAGCTGGCTTTGTTGCCTTCGGACACAGACCACTGCAGACCCTGCTTGAATTTTGCTGTAACATCTCTTGAATGAAAACGTGTTCTTCCAAAAAACCAAAAAACACGTCCTGGCTGGAAACGGCTGCCAGGGGACTGAAAGGAACTGCAGATTATAAATCCTCTGGGCTCTTGTGGCAACAAAATGTTTGTCCCGTGGATTTGAGCTGGACCCAATGAATCCAAAAAGTGCTGGGAGTGACTCTTTAACCCATCCTGTTGGAAAAAAAGGGGGAAAAAAAACCCCAACAGGCTAAATAAACAAAAAAACCAAAACAAGAAACAACAGCAAGAAAACACATAATAGTAATAATAATAATAATAGTAATAATAATAATAATAATAATAATAATAATAATAATAATAATAATAGTAATGGGACATTGGACAGGAAAAAGAAAATTCAGAAGGTCAAAGGCTAAAACTCCACCTGAATTTTAAACTAAATTGGAAAGAAAATTAAATTCAGTTGATTAGACCTTGTAAACTGTGCTTAAATAAAAGTTTCCAAGGACAACAGCATCAACAAACTCTGAATTTTCATAGTCAGAGAGGGTACCTTGGGGTACCAGGCAAAGACAAAAAGGATTGTATAAAAAATTACTGATTCTTCTATCCTGTATTTCACTGAGCTCTACAACAGTAAAAAACACATTTGCATGTTTCAAACTTGTGTCTGTATCATGATAAATATTTTGTCTCCACAGGAAAATATTTTTTTAGTGAGGATAATTTTTTTTTTAAATCGTTCTAACTAGATAAAATCTAACACTATAAAAAAATCTCTAGAGCAAGACTAGGACAAAATTATCTCAAAATGGAGCGGAATAAGGAGTGTACCCACAGTCTGGCATAACTGAAGCATTAATTACTGGAAAAGGATACCAGAAATATTTAAAGAAATGGCATCTTTAACAAGATGATGCTTTTCTGCTGTATTCCAGGCAAGCAAATATATGAGTCAACATCTGAAATGTGATGCAAAGAAAACATTGCAACTGCTTGGTTGGTTTCAGGAGCATATTATGTTTATAAAAACCAGAAGTTTTATCCTTAATATTAAAAAAACCCCACGGTTCTCTCCTTGAGATCTTTGATTTCCCTTGCCTAATTTCTAGATTCAAAAAGCAAATTCTTTTCTAATTGTTTTAATATATTTTGTTTTCAGCTACAAAGTTGGCCTCCTTGAACTTGCATTAATTTGATGTGCATCCATCTTAATTGAAGCTGATCCATTTCAGTCTTGGCAGCACGTTGATAATAAACAGGAACCAAACACCATTTGGCAAATTCCAATCTACCAGGAAAACCAGGGAGAAAGCAGAAAACCTGGGGCCATCTCCTGGAATCAGTTCCTGGGCTGCAACTCAATCTTTGTATGTATATGATTTTATTTTATTTTTTTTATAGCCAAGCATTTATCATCATAATTGTATTTGTAATTTCAAAGGTACATTATCATACTAATGGATGATGAGCACTCAACAGTCACAAGAAATATTTATTGAAGAAGTTCTCCTGTCCTAACAGGGACAGCGTTCCCTAACCCCCATTATGGAAATTGGTTAAACCAAGAGAATATTTCCTTTGTAGTTTCAGCTCTCCAAAAAGCCTTTAATATCCTAAGCCAAAGCAACTGCCCATCAGAAACAGAAAGATGTACTTTGGTCCCCCATGCCAGCTTTTTATTTATGTCTGCCATTTCATTTCCCCTGTAATATGGGGGTAAGTCTTAGCCAACATCTTCATTTTCATTCATTAATGAAATCATGGTAATATCCCACTTTTCACTTAGCTGTCTCCCAGGCACTTTGGAGGTGTCTGTCACCCTGGTATGTGTGTATATATGGAGAGAGCACTCTGCCCAAAAATGACCAGTCAGTGAGGTTTCTCAATATAAAAAAGTTCAAAGTATTACAGGACTATTATTATCACTTAAAACTCCATGAAGCATTAAAATCATGAGTGTGGCAAAGCTGGAAAACACAACTTGATATAACTGTGTCTGTCAATGGGTTCTGCACTCCCTCGCTGCCCCACGCTTAGCAGACATGCTTCTCACCCAGACTTCATTTTTTTCCTGAAATAAAAGGTCACTTTGTGCCATGCTCATCCACTGTTCTGCTGTCCTTCTCAGCTTTAATCAGTGTAGGTAAACTGCATCCCTAAATAATTTGAAGGGCAATAAAAACAAGCACACACAAAAATTACCGCAGCTTCTACGTTCTTGAAAAGGGGGGAAAAATGTCCTGAAAAGCTCTCTTTATTAATATGAGATGGCAAATATTTTTTGCTGTTTATTAAATCATATGAAAGGTTAATTATGGTTAGCGACTGTGGGTAGAAAACAATTCTTGGAAGATGCTTTTGTAACAACAGGTTGGCAGTATGCAGAAGCCATCTGCTTCCTGCAAATGTTAAGGTACAATCTCAAACTTGTGAGGTTAAAAATTACAGATTGCAGAGTAGTTTGGTAGAAGGAAAATCCATGTTGTGTTGATGTAAAGTTGCTCAGTCTCCTTGACACACAGCCTGGAAGGAATGCCAAGTTCCCTAAAGGACGATGTTTGGCTGGAGAGGACCCTCGCTCGGGGTATTCTGTGCTCACACTGGCTGTCTGCACAGCTAATTAAGTCATTTTTGTGCTGTGATTCATCTTTTTTAATACAAGAATTGGTTTCAAATCCTGACCCGTGAATAGGAGTGGATTGTGGCAATAATATTCTGCTTTCAAGTGGGGAATTCAGCTCCTTCCATGAAGGAAATAGATAAAATCATTATCAAGGAGACGCATTCCTGAAACTTGTTGCTTCAGTCCACAGTGTGTGAACTTCATCATGGCTGCAAACTCCTCATGGACAGCACTGTCAGTAAGAAAAGAAGAGTTCTCAACCCCATTTTATAAATAGTGATCTGGGCAAAAAGATAGCAAGAGATTTGTCTGTGAGCCCACAGGGAGGCTGTGGCTGATGGAATCAAACCCAGATTTTTCAGATTGCAGTGAAGTGCCTTAACCACAAAACCATTCTTCCTCTCTGTGGGTCAGCTACGGTGACTACAGCATTTGGGCTGGGCATTTAAAGATGTTTATCTTTTTCCAATGATCAAATTTAATTCTGCTGGATTTTCCACTTCTGGAAAACATCACCCACTTTATCCTTCCCCTCTAGAGATAATGTTGCCCAACTTTGCCTGCTCCCCACCAAGGAAAGACAAACTGAGCCACCTGTAAGAGAAGGGATGGGGAACTGCCCCCTTCAGTTTTCAGTCAAATAGGGAGAAACTATTTTGGGTTTTTTCAGGCACTCTGACCTGAAGTGATGTCCTGCAACCTTCAGCCCCCTTTGCTGCTCCCCTAACTTACAACCTCTCCCCACACTCATCTCTAGGAGCTGACTGCCAGCCAGTTGCTGTGTAAAAGAGTTCATTTAGGAAAAAATCTGGGTCCTTTTTCCTGTTATTCTACCCTAAACAATTCTGTCAAGGCTATGAATGTCTGCAGGGGTTTCTTCTCCAACACTGCCTTTTTTTTTCTAACAGAGACTTTCCAGCTAGATGACTATTTTTTTAAAGCATCCTGTAAAGTGTTTTTATCTCCTCCTTTTGGGCTGGAGTTGGTGATCCACCCCATTATCAGCACCTCCTGCCAGGAAGGACATCCTGCCATTAAAATCCCTCTGTATGGAGGATAGAGGAGCTGACCTGACCACCCCTGGGCTGTGCTGCAGAGCTCCCAGTCATTCATCACAGCCTTGCTCCCCAGTGCTGGCAGCATCCCTTACCAGGATGGTTAGCAGCAGCAGGACCTGCCCTGCCCTGCATTGTCCCTTTCTGCTGCCAGCCCAGCTGCAGCCTCATTGAAGCCTCTGAAACCCTGAGCTGGGGTCTGCTGGTGGGCTGCAGGTGATGGCATCTTCTATTTCTAGCCTGAAACCACTAATAGGGAAGAAGGAACCAGCTTTATTCATCTCCCTGACATTTTGTCAACAGACCTGGACCTTTCTTTCTCTTCTTCTTGGTCTGATCTCTTCAATGAAACTGAAGATCATTTTGGGTAATACCAGCAACGCTTTCATCAGGCTTCCTGGAGTGCCCTGCAGGAGTTGGCTGCATGTGAGGGACTGAAACACATAGAAATTAGGGATGAGATGTTTCAATGCCACCAAAGGGATTTGGATGCCCAGCATCCATTAAAATGAGTAACAATTCCTGTCCTGCCCTAAATGGCCAGAGCCCAAATTGCTCCATGAGATGGAAACCATCTTGGTTAATGCATGGACACTTAAGCCCTCAGCATCTGACTTCACTTATATTTTATTTCCAGCAAACTTGGTTGATGATGTCCAATGAAACCCTTGCACACCCCTTACCCTCTCCCCAGCAGCTCATCGCGCTGTCGCTTGCCAGCTCCACTATCAGGGGAGGGTGATGAAGGTACCTCATTTGTTTGCAAGTTGGAGAATGATGTAAAAGGTTCCTCGTCCATCATGATAAAGGCTTTCAAAAAAAGCCCCAGACAAATGTTCCTTCCTCTCGTTTCGCCCGCGCTCCGTGAGGACGTTTGAAGCAGAGGGAAAGTTCAGCGTAGCCATATGTACAGAGGGGCTGCACACAAATCACAGCTACTGCTAATTGGATCCAGAGATCTAATTGGTCCCTCGTGGTGGCACCCTGGGCTGCTCCTGCCTCCCCTGACCTGCCAAGGGGCTCAGCCACTCACAGCACCATCATTAAGCAGAGCAGGCATTGCCCAACCCAAGGGGAAGATGAAGATGTAAAATAATATATAATAATACAAAATAACATAATACAAAATAACTCCAGGTGCTTGCTCTGAGGCTAATGCCTCATCCAGAAAGCATCCCTACACCAAAGCATTGAGAACCCCACTAAAATTGCCAGAAATATGATGTTTCCCACATCCCCTTCCTGCCCTAAGTGCAAAGCAACATGCCTGTCTATGTTAGGGACTATTGGTCTTTTTTAACCCTTTTTAGGACCACTATCACCCCATCCAATTCCACATGTGAGCCCAGCCACGAACTCTGGACTTGGATGCTCCCAAGTTACATGGAGCAAAATCCTGGGGAAATGGGGAGGAAATATCCAAAGTTTGGACTCAGGTCCATTTTAGTTCTGGAAAAAGCTTTGAGTCTTCTTTTATTATGCAAACCTCCTCAGCCAATCCTGATTTTAATAAAGTTGATTAATGATTGAGCTGAGGACAAGGACAGTTATTCCCTGACTTATGCTACGCCGTTTATGGAAGCTGTATCCTTAAATGAATTACTGCAGGGATCATTAAATTTTGACTTAAATTGGACATAGTAAGCTCATTTGAAAAAATAAAAAGCTTAGCAAGTTATATATAAACTAAAGGAAAAATGAATCTCCTCAAGCTGTCTCCCCTCTCCTTCTCAAGCAGGAACCTAAAGGGCAGATTTGAAAAGTGAAGTTTAAATTTGCAGGGCAAATCTTCATGAGGGCACTTTGAAGCTGCATTTGTGCAATTCCTAATTGAATTATGGGTTCAAAACCTGGACCTTTATCCTCATTCAGTTTAACGGGTCCCCAGATTTGGGGTTGGCAGTAGAAATATTGTTACTCTAGAGAAGGAAGGTGAAAACTGCTGTGGTGTGGAAGGGGCTGGCGGGAAGTGGGTGCTGCTCCCATGTCCTGCACTGTGGCAGCTGGGGGGACAGAGACCCAGAAAAAAGGCACACTGTTTTTTAATGGGATTGCCTTTAAAAGTCACATTAAAAAAAATTTTTGATGGCTTTAGGATTTGAGTACTTCCTCACTGAGCGTTTTTAGAGGGAGGATGGAGATGCTGGACGTGGATCTTTTTCTGCTTTGCAAGCATTTGAAAACAGTTCAGTTACAGTTGATTTGGTTCCTCATGTATAAAACTGCCAACATTACTCCTTGATGCTGAGAATAATCACAGAAATGACCATGGGGCCTTGTGAGGGTGGTCACAGACTGGGAAACATTGCTCAGAAAAGCTGTGGCTGCCCCTGAATCCCTGGAAATGTCGAAGGCTGGGCTGGACAAGGCTTGGAGCAACTTGGGGTAGTGTAAGGTGTCGCTGCCCATGACGGGTGGAACTGGATGAGCTTTAAGGTTCCCTCCAACCCAAATAATTTTATGAATATTCATTCATTAAATAAAAAGGACTGCACCTTTGCATATGGATACATTTCCAGCAGAGGGGAAAGACTATAAGCAAAAATAAGGCGATAAAGTAGGGGAGGGGTTTAAGCAACAATATTCAGACCCTTCTGAACATCCAGGCTGTAATCTCCAGTAACATTTATTCATCCCACCTTCCAAATCCCATTCACACCATCCTGTGAGTAGGGGTGAGCTCAGAGCG